ACCCACACAGAGACCCACACAGAGAGACACACAGAGAGACACACAGAGAGACACACAGAGAGACACACAGAGAGACACACAGAGAGACACACAGAGAGACACACAGAGAGACACACAGAGAGACACACAGAGAGACACACAGAGAGACACACAGAGAGACACACACAGAGACACACACAGAGACACACACAGAGACACACACAGAGACACACAGAGACACACACAGAGAGACACACAGAGAGACACACAGAGAGACACACAGAGAGACACACAGAGAGACACACAGAGAGACACACAGAGAGACACACACAGAGACACACGCAGAGACACACACAGAGAGACACACAGAGAGACACACAGAGAGACACACAGAGAGACACACAGAGAGACACACAGAGAGACACACAGAGAGACACACAGAGAGACACACAGAGAGACACACAGAGAGACACACAGAGAGACACACAGAGAGACACACAGAGATACACACAGAGAGACACACAGAGAGACACACAGAGAGACACACAGAGAGACACACAGAGAGACACACAGAGAGACACACACAGAGAGACACACAGAGAGACACACAGAGATACACACAGAGAGACACACAGAGAGACCCACCAGAGAAGACACCAGAGAGACCACAAAGAGAGGACACACAGAGAGACACACAGAGAGACAAACACAGAGGACACACAAACAGACACACACAGGAGACACACACAGAGAACACACAGAGACACACACAGAGACACACACAGAGACACACAGAGGACAACAGCGAGGACACACACACAGAGACACACACAGAGGACACACACAGAGACACACACATGAGACACACACAGAGACACACACAAGACACACAGAGAGACACACAGAGAGACACACACAGAGACACACACAGACACACACAGAGACACACACAGAGACACACACAGAGACACACACAGAGACACACACAGAGACACACAGAGAGACACACAGAGAGACACACACAGAGACACACACACACACAGAGACACACACACACACAGACACACACACACACACACACGCGCACGCGCACGCGCACGCACGCACGCGCGCACGCGCGCGCGCGCACGCGCGCACGCGCACGCGCACGCACACGCGCACGCGCACGCACTCGCACACGCACACGCACACGCAAACGCACACGCACACGCACACGCACACGCACACGCACACGCACACGCAAACGCAACACACACACACATACAAAACGGCTGGACGAATCCCCCTCCAAGCTTCTGCAGACTTTGCGTGTGGGTGAGCACAGTGCCTCTCGGGCCGGGCGAAAGGGGGGGATTGCAAAGGGGGGGTTTGAGAATCAGCTCACGTAGCTGATTTTCCTGGCGCCTCCTGGCACCGGAGGCGGCTATGTATCGAGGAATGGGCCCCGTGGTGGGGCCGAAACCAGCTGCATGCAGCAGATGTCGTGACCCCCCCTTTCCCAGTCCTCCCCCTTTCGTCTGGCCCGAGCCTCGCCGGTCAAGGACGTCTCGGTTCGGACGCACAAGGGGGGGGATAACACATGCGGGGTTGGCGAATCAGCTCGCTCGGCCGGTTTTCACGGCGCACCTCCAGCGCCAGAGGCGCCAGTGTACCAAGAGAGGTGCTCGGCGGCGGGGCTGACACCAGCTGCATGCAGCAGATTTCGTGATACCCCATTTCCCCCCCCCCCCTATCGTCCTTCCCGAAAAGGCGTTCCTGCTGGACGGGCCCAGATCTCTGGCGGCCGGGAACAGACAACGCGCCCCTACAGGAGCCTCTCGGCCAGCCCGTCGCTGGCCAGACCCCTCGGCCGGTCCCCTTCGGCCAGCTCCCCCTGCGAGGCAGCCTACAGGCCAGCAGCACCCAGTCCCTACAGCCAGACGCCACCGTCTCCTCCTCCACACTCCTCGGAATAGACGTCCCCCTCTCATCGTTTCCCTCTCGCGGCCGCATGGGCACGTGGCTCGGTAGGGAATCTGGAGCGCCAACCTTCTGGCGTGTTCGTCCTGGGCTGTGGCGGTGGTGGACGCGCAGGGGATGTGCATGCAGGGATGGGGGGTAGCGAAGGGCAGCACGCATCGCGTCCATGTCGGCACCCCCGCACGCTGCACGGGGCATGAGCATGAGTAGAGGCATCGGCGTCATCGCCTCCTTCCCGCCAACCTCGGTGAGGGAGGCGTGAGGCACGCCCGCCCTCCCCCTCCCTCCCGTCTGCCGAGACGAGGCCAGGACGAGGATCACGTCGGGCGGGGAGAAAAAATCGAGAGCCTCTGGGATCCAGGGGGGCTCTGGAGGATGCCTCGGGCGCCGCGGCCTTCTCAGAGCGTTCTGGAACGCTCCGAGAGCGACCCAAAACACTCTGGATCGAACTTCTCCTCGTCCTTTGCCCCGTCCGATTTACCTTCCTCCAGGGGCCAGGCCGCGGCCTCCCCGCCGGACCCCTCCTGGCAGTAGTCGCCGCTCTTGAGCTTGATGATCCAGATGCCCTCGCCGGACGACCCGCGGTTCTGCTTCACCACCTCCGGCGCGCTCGAGGGGCAAACGGCACAACGCGCACACGTGCTTCGTGTTTTTGCCGGTGCCGCGCGCGCGCTGGGGTCCCAGCACAGCACAACACACCGTCCCGGCACAGCGGGTGCGGGTCGCCACGTCTGTCTTGCGAGTGCTTCGAACCGCTTGAAACCTTCCCAGACCCCCGACGTCATGATTTTTTCATGACGTCGACCCCCAGAGGTTTGGACCCATTCCCCAGGACCGGTTTTTCATGCTGAGTCGTTTTTTGACGGCCCCGAGGCCCGGTAAGGGCCCCCAGAAGCCGAAAATTGCGAAAAACCTCCCGTCGTGATTTTTTCATGACTCGAGGGGGTCTGGGTTTGTCGCACTCTTGCCGTTGCTCGCCCGCCCCGATCTCCGTGCCGTCTCCTCTCCTCTCCTCTTCCTCCTCCCTCTGGCTCCTACCCACAGCGGGTGGGGGTCGCCACGTCTGTCTTGCGAGTGCTTCGAACCGCTTGAAACCTTGGTCGCACTCCTACCGCTGCTCGCCCGCCCCAATCTCCGCTCCGTCTCCTATATCCTCTCTTCTTCCTCCTCCCTCCTGGCTCCTACCCTTCCGCCCGCGGTCCCCCTCCCCTTTCCGCTCTTCCATATATCTCCTCTGCCCGTCGGGTTCCCGCGGAGTCGTTGTTGGACCATCCTGAGGCATCAGAGGCGCCTCGGAAGAGAAGAACGAGGTCTTCAGAGATTCAAAGTTTTCCGTTGGTGTTGAAACGATCTGGAGCTATCTTGGGAGGCCTCGAGGGCCGCCTTTTCAAGCGAACTTGGGCCGTCTCCTGGCCATCCTGAACGATCCTACAGGGTCCCGATGGCCCCAGTCGACCGTCTTGGGGATGCCTCGGGCTCCTCTGGGGCGCTGTTGGCCTGTCTGGCTTTCGGGAGCCGTCCGGGGGGTCTCTGGGAGGTCTCTGGGGCCGTCTTGGGAGACTCTGGAGCGCTCTTGGGCCGTCTTGTGGCCTAGCGGGGATCCTCTTGGGGCACGCTTGGGCCATTCGACGACCATCCAGAATCCTCAAAAGCCCATCGGCAGGGAACAGACGAGATCTTCGAAAACCACTGGTGTTCCCGGTGTTTTTTTCGAGTGATTGGTGCAGCCTGGGGATCTCTTGGAAGCCTCCTGGAGCTGACCCCTCGAACAAGCCAACGGAAAAGCAACAGAGTTCGCCTCCCAGGGCCCTCTCGCGGGCCCTGCCGGAGCCGCGCGCGCGGACCTCGGGGCCTCTGCTGGCCGCCGCGTGGCCACCTGCAGGAGCCTCGTCGGCCACGCAGGTCGGTCCTGGCGGCTCCTCTCGGGGATGGACAGACCCCCTTTTAGTAAAACGTGGTTTAGCGAAAACGACCTGAGGCCCAAACCTGGCGGGCGCAAGCCTGGGAAATAACGGCCACGGCGCCCTCTCGAGAACCGAAAACGGACAATTCACTAATCGACGTGTCACTGTTGGGGGTTCTGTCCACCCCCGATCCTTGGCGTCCTCTGGGGCCGTCCTGGGGGTCCCTTTGGGGGGCCCGGGACATCGCTCGGGGCGCTGCGGAACTCGGGCGCGAGGGCGGTGGGGGAGCTTCGAAACAGCGGGGGGTCCCCAGGCCTTCGGGCCCTGTCGCCGGATATCGCTGATGCTCGTAATTACGTGCATCCATCTGTATATCTACGCAACCATACAAACACGTGCACGAGTAAATACACGCGGAATGTTGCCCCCCCCGCTTCCCATGTTTTCCAATACTTTCGGGGGATTCGACGATTAAGTGTGCCTGTGTGTGTTCTTCCCCTCGTGATTAATTTGCGCAACATAGAGTGAGTGCACCACATACCACATGGAATGCTCCGCATAGATTGCATCGCATAGATGGAACAGCATGGATTGTGTCCAACATATACTGCGACACATCGATTTCACGGCATACGGTGGGTTCGTGCGGCGTCGGCGCGCGTGAAGGTTTTTGACACCTCGTCGATTGTTCACCTTCGAAGCGATCGTGGCTCTGATCGTTGAAAACTTCCGTCGTGTCCAGTGACGTCACCGTGTCCCTCGGTACTTCCGCGACGCTGAATTCAACCCCAAATGCCTTCGGCTGCGTCGATGGCGCGCCATCGCCGCTTGAACCTACCGTTGATTCCACAACCCTGATTGCATCGCACAGATGGCGCACCACGTAGATTGCACAACATATATTACATAACAGATAGTTTACCGCAGAAATTGCAGCACATATATTGCGCAACATATATTGCACAACACAGGTAGCATGACAAGTATTGCACCACGTCGATTGCACGGCACATACTGTGAAACACCTATCGCACCACATATATATATATATATATATACATTCATCTATTTATGTATAGCGCCAGCTAGATTGCACATCAGAGGTTGCACCACATCTATTACACCACGTCGGTTGCATCGCATATATTGCGAAAATATTGAACAAGGCATATTCCTCCACATAAGTTGCACCGCATAGATTGCACAACATGCGCTGCACAACCTGTACTTCTGGAAACTCACTGCTTGGGGGGGCACGCTGGCTAACACACATGTTTGTATATCATATACACATATATACATACATATGCACACACACACATCCTTCGTCGCGCCTCTGGCACGAAGTGGAGTGCCCCAAGGCTCATGCAGCACTGCGAGGTGGAGGGCTTGCGCGAGGCCCTTGCACAGCCCGGACCTCCGGTTTCCCGGGCGCTCCCGGGGACTCTCCAGGAGCTCCCGGGAGCTCCTGGGGCGTGTCGCGCGCGTCTTCTGGGAGCCGCAGGAGGGCCCCCAAGACGGGCCAAGAAAGGCACGGGAGGCCGCGAGGGCCCCGCGTCGCCCCATGATTGAATCGTTCCCAGGGGCCCAAGGTGGCTTTCGGGCGGTCGCAGAGGCCTTCAAGAAGCTCCAAGGGGGGGCCCCGAGCGCACTCCCAGGAGGGCCCCAAGAGGCAGAACTCATCGAGTCCTCTTTGGTACTTCGATGATTTGCGGCTACCAGTCGTGCCTTGGACGGCGGCGCCGACAAAGACAAGGTGATCGAGACGGAGGTGCTCGGGCTCCTGGAGGAGGTCCTGGCCGCTGTGTCCAACGCGGCGGGCTTCAAGGACAATGTCGGCCTCGGCAAGGCGAGTGAATGGCTCCGCGAACAGGACGATGTTGGCAAGCAGCTTGCCAGCCGCGTCTCGCGCCCCAGCAAGTCGAGGAGCTCTGTCGCGCATACCGACGTTCGGCTTGTGGAGGACGTCCACGGCATTACCCCTGATGGAAGCGTGAGCGTCGACGAGCTGGTGAGCGACGCCGTCAGCATCCAGGACTCTGAGAAGATGGCGGGCGTCCACTAGCATGGCTGGTACATCGGGGATACGTACGTGCACCAGGGCAGGCAGACCTGGGGCGCCGAGTGCGGCTCCGACGTGTGCCCCGACGGGGTCCACCGTGGACGCTGAGCGGACGGTATAGACGAGGACAGCCTGCTTGCGGTCGACCAGCAGTAATTACGGCCAGGACGTGGACGTGGAAGGCATAGCGCTCGAGTGCAAGGTTGACACCGCTGACGCGGCAGGGAAGCTGAATGTCGGGTCCGTCTTCGTGCCCGCCGTAACGTCCAAAGATGTCCAGATCGGGTCGGGCGTGGTCGATTCCGGGGGCTCAGGCGAGTGCGATGTGACCGAGGTGACGTCCCAGTGCGTCGGCTCCGATGCGCTCGTGCAGCCCGTGCCGAAGCCTTTGGCGGGCGAGGGGTCCAACGTGAAGGTCGTGCAAGGTAAGGCAGAAGAAAGGTAAGAAGAGCAAGGGCAAGTCTGTGGCGGTCGACAGCGGCGCCGATCAGCTCAGCCTGGAGCTCCAGCAGACCTTCGCGACGTTCGACACAGACGGCAATGGACCGATCGACTCGGAGGTTTGTTTGGACGCCCGAAATTGGCACGGAAAGAATGGGTACAATGCCCAACAACAAATGTTGCCCCAAACCAACAGCGGCCACTGTTGGGCAGGCGGCCTTCTGTTTCAAATGGACACAGTCCTGTTCAGAATGATCAGGAACTGCTGTTGGGCATTGTGCCCACTCTTTCCGTGCCCAGCTCGTGCGTGCAGAGAGTTTGGTGGGGGCTTCCGTGGCCCTCGGCTTCGAGGCGAAAGTGGCCCACCAGGCGATTTTTCTGGTGCCGTCGTGAGCGGCTCAGGCTCTGTCGGGTGCGCGGCGATCCTCGGGCTGGTGCGGGGCCTCGTCTGCCACGGCTTCCACCGCGGGCTCCTGCAGGCGCGCAGCAGGGGCCCGGCCACAAGACACCTCCCACAGGAAGCCCGACCCCCTGAGACCCCAGGACGCCCCTCGTTTTTTTTGTTGGTGTGGGAGCGTCACGCTTCCCATCGAACGCACCATCGAAACCCAGGAAACCCAGGGCACCCACAAACGCAGGGTGTTTCCTGGCATGGGTAAGGTTGTCGGGGGTCTTCTGACCCGGGTCAATCCAGACCCGGGTCAGCCAGGCCTTGCAAAATCCTGCAAGATCCTGCACCCAAGCCCGGGTCAATGCGAAGGGTCCTGCAAGATGCTGCACCCAAACCTGGGCCAATGCGACCCTGACCCTGCAGGATCCTGCAAGATCGGGGTGCTCTGGCTGACCCCCGTCTGCATTGACCCCCGTCTCAGGGCTCCCGAGGTGGCGGGCCGCGATGCGGCCTGGTCAGATTGGCGGCCGGTCGCTTGGGCCAAAATGGCCGCGGACAAAGGCTCGATACCTCTCGCCTTTGCCCTTCCTCCTTCAGGGTCTGGACGCACGCAGGGTTCGGGCCAGGCGAAGGGGGGGGGGGGGATAGCAAAGGGGGGTTTGAGAATCAGCTCGCGTAGCTGATTTTCCCGGCGCCTCCCGGCGCCGGGAGGCGACCATGTGTCGAGGGATGGGCCCCTCCGCGGGGCCGAAACCAGCTGCATGCAGCAGATTTCGTAACCCCTTTCCCAAACCCCCCTTTCGCCCGACCCGAAGGGTGCTTCTTGGCATGGGTCTCCACTCTTCAGCGGTGTACAGACCTCCCTTTCGTAAACCTCCCCATTAGTGAAAACGGCCTGGGACCGAAACCGACGGACCTGGACCCGCAAAAATGACGGCCCCGACGCCCTCTCGCGAACCGAAAATAGGCGCCCCCAGAGTCGAATCGACAACTCGGATCGGCGATCGAAATGAATCGGATCGGCGGAAATCGGCAGCCGAGTCGGGAAAAGTCGAATCGGCGGAAATCGGCAGCCTAAAAGGCCTCCGCTATGAAAGCGGAGCCCAAATCGGAATCGCATGTCGAATCGAATCGGAATCGGAAGCCACCAAAATCGAATCGAATCGAATCGGAGGAATCGAAATGAGCCCTGGAAAACGGCCGATTCCTTAATCGACGCGTCAGGGTAGGAGGTCGATCCACCTCCGAACTCTGCCGGCGAGTCCGAGGCCGGCGGCCTGTGGGGGTGCTCCTGCTGTCCCCGGCGCCTTCCAGGCGCTTTTATGGGCCGCTGCAGGGGGCGGCTGCGCGCAGCGTGTAGATCGCGCGGCGGCAAGGGTCTCCGTGCCGCACTCGATGGGCACGAAGGGGTCCCAGATGGTCTGGTACCGGAAATTTTCGGTAGCGATTTCGACGCACCCCGAATTTCGGTAGCGACCGGATCTTCGTTTGAGGGCGTTGAAATAGCGGATTTCAGAACGCTCTGATACCTGTATTGGGCGCTACATTTCGGTATTTCGGTAGCGACCGATCTCTGCGGAGCGCTACCGGAAATTTTCGGTAGCGGACCATCAGGGGTGTCTGTGCATGCCGTTTTTTGTTGTTGTTTGTTCTCTCTCTCTCTCTCTATTCCTCTTTGTTTTCTGTTCAGTTCCTCCGCCTTCTGTTTTTTTTTTGTTTTTTTTTTTTTTCTCTCTCTCTCTCTCTCTCTCACGCTCTGAACTCAAGTTGCTTTGCGCACATGTCGGCAACAAAAGAGCGGCCCAAAAGAGGCCCCTGGTATCGCCCCAAGACAGGCGAAGAGGCCTCCAAGAGGGACCCAGAACGGCCCAAGAGGCCCCCCCCAATGCGCGACGTGCGGCTGTCTTGGCGCCCTCGCACCTTCGCCCCGGAGAATTGGATCGGACGAAGGGAGGAGGGGCTGGCGAATCGGCATGTCCCGTGCTGCCTCTCCCAGCAAAGGGATTTTGGACGAACAATTAGCAAGCACGCAAACAATATGCAATACACTATCAAACATACTAAACAAATCGTCCCCTTTTTATTGGTTGACTACTTTTGAATATTCCTCCCGTAGAGGGACGTGCCCGACTTGAGCCTACCGGCGCCAGAGGCGCCCGTGTATCGAGAAGGCACCAGGCGCTGGGGCCGAAACTGGCTGCACGCAGCAGATTTTGCATCCTCCCCTTTCGGTTTCCCCCCGTGTTGTCCGACCCGAGACGAAAATCTCAAGTATACACCACGTCGTCCGGTCGGCCAAGGAGCTCGGTGTATAGACGCTCCAGCTCCCCAGGCTGTGGGACGCTGTGGCGTCCATACGCCGGATTCCTTCGCCGAAAAGGGTGACTTCGAAGCCGAAGGGCGCCTCTTGGGCCCTGGGCCGCGACGACCACATCTTCGTGGCCAGAGCCGCGCCCCGGCGCTGAGGCGCTGCAGAGCCCACAGAGCCCTCGCCGAGGCTGCCGCCAATGCGCACACCTCAGCACCCGCGGTGAGCCCGAGCTGGGAGCCTATAGAGGCCAGCGAGGAAGCGGCGGCGTGGCCCGCCATCATCCTCCTCCTCCTCCTCCTCCTCCTCCTCCTTCTCTTTTTTTTCCTCCTCCTCCTCCTCCTCCTCCTCCTCCTCCTCCTCCTCCTCCTCGTTCTCCTCCTCCTCCTCCTCCTCCTCCTCCTCCTCCTCCTCCTCCTCCTCCTCCTCCTCGGGCGGCGTGGGCGCGCCCGAGGCTGGAACGCCATCGTCTTCTTGAACCCCACCGAGAAGTCCTGGGCAGACTCGGGAGTGGCCCTGCGACTTGCGCCCTCCCGCCGACGCTCGCGCTGGCGGCCGTGCCGTCGCGACGCGCGACCGAAGCCGTGTGGGCTACGTACCTCAACCCCGGGTGGGTGAGGAGCCCTGCTGAAACCGAATCTCGTGTCAGGTAACCCCACGAGAGAAGAATGGAAGCACCGACGGCGTTGTTGGACGTCCTTGGCCCTTTTTGTCGCGGCGTCTCCCTCCGCGCGCACCTAAAATTCCAGAATGCGCGCACATGCAAAAACCACTATGCCCTCCCCCTCCCCCTCCGCCTCCCACTCCTTCTCCTCCGCCAACTCCTCCTCCTCCTCCTCGTCCTCTTTCGGGGTGACGTAGAGGTGGGGTAGGGGCAGAAGTGGGGTTAGAGAAAAATCGCTAAAAACGGCCCGTGCAAGAATGAAATGTGGATATCCAGCTGGGTATGCTCCCTGACCCCACTATGGGATAAACCCAACCTCTGCGACCCCCCGACTCCTCCTCCTCCTCCTCCTCCTCCTCCTCCTCCTCCTCCTCCTGCTCCTCCTGCTCCTCCTCCTCCCCCCTCCTCCTCCTCAACCCCTCCTCCTCCTCTTCCTCCCCCCCCCCCTCCCCCTCCCCCTCACCCTTCCCCTCCCCTCCCCTTCTCATCCTCCTCCTCCTCCTCCTCCTCTCCTCCCTTCTCCTCCTCCTCCTCCTCATCCTCCTCCTGCTCCTGCTCCTCCTCCTTCTCCTCCTCCTCCTTGTTCTCCTCCTCCTCCTCCTCCTCCTCCTCCTTTCTTCTGTTTCCTTATACATGATTTCTCCCTGTCGTACCCCGAGGCCGGTTTTTAGGACGGGCCGGTCGTTTCGCTTGAGTTTTCAACATGTGACTCTCGTCTTAACGCCGCGCACATTCGTTTTCAACATTTGCAAGAGCTTCACTGATTGAGGGTGGGTCGTTTTCAAAATGTGGCACTCGCCTTAGCGCCGCGCATATTTGTTTTAAACGTTTGCAAGAGTTTCAAACATTGAGGGCGGGTAGTTTTCAAAATGTGACTCTCGCCTTAGCGCCGCGCACATTCGTTTTAAGCATTTGCAAGAGCTTCACTGATTGAGGGCGGGTGGTTTTCAAAATGTGGCTCTCGCCTTAGCGCCGCGCACATTCGTTTTAAACAATTGCAGGAGCTTCACGGATTGAGGGCAGTTCTTTTTCAAACTGTCGCCTGAGCGCCGCGCACATTCGTTCTAAACATTGCCAGTGTTTCACGGATTGAGGGCGGGTGGTTTTCAACATGTGGCTCTCGCCTTAGCGCCGCGCACATTCGATTCAAAATTTAGCCAGAGCTTCACGGATTCCCATGATCAATCGGAAGGGTTCAGGATTATGCGGGTGCAACATTTATGTTGACTCGCGGTGCTGAGGTCCTAAAAAATGGCGTTCTGCCACAATACCGGATCGTCAAGACGCAGCAGTAAGGTTGATCCGTGGCGTTGAAATCCCGAAAACAATGCTTTGGCATACTTCAGGGTCTCCAAACGGTTGTTTCCAACGAGGCAGTTCCCTCAGTGGAAGCGAACATTTGTAGGGGCCTCAGGGAGCTTGGAGGGAGGGTTAATTCCAACATCGTTGATGACTCTTGGGTTTGCACTGGTCCTCCTCCTCCTCCTCCTGCTCCTCCTCCTCCTCATCCTCCTCCCTCTTCGAGCGAGAACGACCGACGACGGCGTCGTTGGACTTGTGGCCCTCCCAGGGCCTCCGGAGGCCACCCATGCAGGGACCTTCGGAGGCCGCAGGGACATCTGGAGCCCCGTTCCCTGGGAGCCTCCAGGGGCCTCCTTGGCCTCCGAGGCACGCCTCCTCTGGCGGGCGGGCGACTGGTACTGGAGTCGGATCGTCGCATGCCACGCAGCTGGCCCGAGGCATTGGTCCACGGGGGGGCGACGAGGGGAGGCTGGTCCCACGCGCGACACCAGCGCCACCAGGGGCCACGAGTGGGAGGAGCCAGGGGGGGGTCCCCCCGGTAATATGGTCCCCCCCCCTCTCGCTCAAGACATCTCGTAGCCCCAGCGTCGGATGTGGCCCCCCTGGCGGTGGTGTCCCCTCTCCTTCCCCCGACACATCGGCCTTGCGCGGTGGCTTCAGCAGATCGCCGGAGCACAGCACACCACTTAACGGGCGAAGAACGGTATAACATATTTGTTTTCGCCGTCGGGGACACCTGCCCCAGGGCGGCTGGAAAGTTTATACCCTTACGCCTTACGGTGGCACCGTAGGGGTATAAACTTTCCAGCCGCCCAGGGGCAGGTGTCCCCGACGGCGGAATTTTTATTTTATACCGGTCTTCGCTCGCTGAACCGCGCAGATGGTGCCGGAGCGCGACCTGACGCGGGCAGCTCGCGAGCGAAAGCCCGCGAAGCCGATCCCCTTCTGCTGCGTCGCCCGATCGGCGCAGGGCCCCTGCGAGGTGAGCTGCAGACGACTGCCCGGGTGGAATGTCGCCCTTCTGCCCACCAAGGAAACCTCCCAAAACAAAACCTCCTCCTCCTCCTCCTCCTCCTCCTCCTCCTCCTCCTCCTATTATTGTTCCTCCTCCTCCTCCTCCTCCTCCTCCTCCTCTTCCTCTTCCGCCTGTGCCTCCTCCTTCCTCCTCCCTCGGCAATTCGCAAAGCCGGCGCAAAGCTCCGCGAGGGAGGTGCCGGGGGGGCCGAAGCCCGCTCACAGCATGGTGTAGCTATCCCGTCGTTGGTCCCACGCTTCCGTCTTCGCAACCTGCTTCCAGTCTCCGTCGCCAAGAAACCTCCCAGATGGGCCCATTTTCCGCGGTTGCGTTACGTTGGGGTCCGATCGAGCAGCGGTCGGCCGCCACGCGGGGCACGGGCTGTAACTGGAAACATGTGCGCTCAGACATCGCTGCAAGGAAGGAAGGGAGAGGAGGAGAAGGAGGGAGCAAAAAGGAAGAGGAAGAAGAGGAGGAGAAGGAAGAAGAGGAGGAAGAGGAGGAAGAGGAAGAGGAGGAGGAGGAAGAGGAGGAAGAGGAAGAGGAGGAGAAGGAGAAGGAAGAGGAGAAGGAGGAAAGGAAGAGGAGGAACAGGAGCGAGCAGGAACGAACAGAGCCCTGGGCTCGATTGATCAAGCATGTGTCTTTGCTGCCTGTGCTGCCGGCCCGCTGTCCCTGACGACCGCGCGCCCTGCGTCTGCAGCGGCCGCCAGCTGCGAAGTCGGCACTGGCGCGCACGCGTGCACGAGCCCTGGCTTACACGCCAGGCCGCTTCAACCACGGACGGGTTGCTACAGTCGGCCTTGATTGGACAGGGCGCGCGAGAGGACACGAGACCCTTCCAAGGGCCACATTGCCACAGGGATGTAGGAGACATGGGTCGCAAGACACAGGGCACGAGGGTACCCTTGATCTGGCAGGGTCGACCTACTAATCCGGGCCGCCTGTGTCACTGGCGCCTCAGCGACATAAACCGAATGCGGAGTGCTCCACCTGCGCAGTATTCCCACGATGCGGCTTGGCACCCCGCCGATCCCGACACGAACCTGAACCAGCACACACTGATCCGCCCTGGTGCTGGATCACATCGACCGCTGGCGCAGTGCTTACGACCAGATTGCCTGGTCCGTGGGTCGCGGATGCCATGTGCCTGGCCTCACGACATCACAGGAGCAGAGAAAGAGAAAACAATATAAACATCGGAGCTTTGCTCGGATCTCTTGGATCGGCGCTGGACCCCACTTCCTAGAGAGCGGAGCCCGCCAGTGGCGGCATATCGGGCACCACCAGGGGGTCCAGCGCGGAGCTTCGAAAACTTACACGTCGGTCGGAAGAAGTGGGTAAAACCATGAAGTAGGAAGGCGGATGAAGTAGATTTGGTCCAGACCCTCCAAGAGATTAACCAACCACAGTAAGACATATCGATTATTGGAGTAGGAAGACGCTTGAAGTAGATTGGGATCTGCGGATCCAAGAGTACCTACTTTCAACGACCGACGTGCATGTTGATGCAGCTGCTCGGGACAAAGCAAGAAGGGCAATCCTCCACGGTGTAGTAGGCGCTGGTGTCCTGCCGCACTCGCGCTGTAGGAGTAAGATCACCGGAGATGTCCGTATGCACATGCGTCTTGCTGCTCAGCTGTTCTGGTGAGAGCCTCCTCACTGTGCGCACACGCCTGCACCGTGGCCGCCCAGATCCCGGAATTCAGACAGAAACTATGTATAAAGTCGTCGCCTGAAGGCCCCCCTGAACCAGGATGCTGCTAACCAGGGCTATCAAAAATTTCGCCTGGCGAGAGAACTTGGAGAATGCTTGGACACACGACTGCACTTTTCTCGAGCGCGCCAACGTCCTGGTCGATTCAAGTCCCCGTTTAGGGGGTCCTGAGGCCTCCAAGGAACAGATGCGGTGGCCCAACGGGCCAAAGACGTGCTAAACTCTCTGGTACGAGGTTCAGAACGTACTTTGTATGTGCTAGCTCGCGCGCGCGCCTCCTGGGGTCTCCTGGAGAGCATCCCGGCCACTAAACTGGCCTCCAAGGTTGGATCAGGTATTGTTCTCCTGGGCGCGCCCTTCCCAGACTCGAGGGGGTCTAGGTTAAGACCTCCAAGACAGCCCCAGGATCGCCCCAAAGGAGCTCCTGGCGGGCCAGAACGGGGATCAGTGGGAGGCAGACCCCGGCTCCAAGTGAAGCCCACACGGGTTCCAAGGCGGCTCCGAATACCCCCAGCAGCGCTCCAAGAGCGCCCCAAGGGGGCCCCAAGAGAGCCCCATGCAGGCCCAGCACAAGCCAAAGGGTGGAGATCAACGGGTGGGAGGCCCCCAAAATCGCCCGGCGTAGTCCCCGACGGCGGCGGGGCTTGGCACAATAAGCAAGTCGTACTGTACACTTTCGCATGTTATCAAGCGCGAATCACTTCGCGCTCTTGCGCCGCCCCCGGGTAAAAAAGAGGAGGAGGACAAGAAGGAGGGAGAGAGCGTGATACACCGCCGCCTTACTGTGGAAACTTGCCGCCCTTTTCCTCCGGAACCTGGGGTTCCCCCCCCCCCTCCGAAAATCCCCCCCCCCCTGCTGGAACCCCCCTCCCCCCCCCCCTCCCTTCCCCCGCCAAAACCCCCAGTCCCCTAACCCCTTCCCTCCCCCCTCTCGAACTCGAAAACCGGGGGGGTCACTACCGGTTCGAACCCCCCCCCCCCTCGAAAACCGGAGGGGGGGGTCACTACCGGTTCGAACCACTGAGCTGTCCCACTGTTCCCACCACTGTCCCCACTGTCCCCACCACTGTCCCCACTGTACCTCTGTGCCATTGTCCCACCGCCGTACTCGCCACCGCCTTCACCACTGTCCCCACCACCACTGTACCCTCCACTGTCCTACTGTTTCCACCACATTCCCACTGTCCCCACACCACTGTCCCCACCACCACCGTCCCCACCACTGTCCCACTGTCCCCACTGTTCCCACCATTGTCCTCACCAGTGTCCCCACCACTGCCGTCCCCACCACTGTCCCACTGTCCCCACCACTGTCCCGCTGTCCCCTCACCACTGTCCCCACCACCACCGTCCCCACCACTGTCCGCACCCCCCCTCGGTTTTCGAAGGGGGGGGGGGTTCGAACCGGTAGTGACCCCTCCCGGTTTTCGAGTTCGAGGGGGGGGGGGTTCGAACCGGTAGTGACCCCCCCCTTTTCATGATGAACTGGGGGGGGGGGGCTTCGAACCAGTGACCCCCCCCAGTTTTCGGGGGGGGGGGAGGGGGAAGGGTTCGAACCGGTAGTGACCCCTCCGGTTTTCCGCCAGCAGCGGTAGAACATGCTCTTTCGAAGGAGGAGGAGGAAGAGGAGGATGGAGAACGAGGAAGAACGAACCAGGCCGCGAACCGCGAATAACATCGCGCCCTCGTGGTGGCGCTTGGTCTAGCATTATCAGCCCGTCATCTATGGAGGTAGCTCAGATTTGACTTCGCAATGCTAGGTCCCAGAGCGCATGGCCGTGCACAACGTCGTCTGACGTGCTGGCTGCAGGATGCCCATGACGACCGCATCTCCACACTGGCCTCGGGCCGATCTCTCGGACTGTCCGTGTCCTTCTCCTCCTCCTCCTCCTCCTCCTCCTCCTGCAAGTCATAGGTTCTCCTCATCCAAATCATCAGTTCGCCTCGAACCCTCGCATGTTCGAGGCGACTTCTGATCATTCCCCGGCGCCCCAAAAAGCAATGTTGATCTCAGTAAGGTGGTGCTTTGTGGGCTTTGGGGGGGTTGGATATTTCTGTCCACTCCCCCCCACTCCTGCGTAACGCCCTAAATATTATTTTCGGGAGGTCTGGGGGGGCATCTTGGGCCACAGAGTTCGAATCCAATGTCCATGCACGGTCCTGCTCCTCCTCATCATCTTCCTTCTTCTCTCCACACTGGGTCAGGTCGATCTTACGGACTGCCCCCGTCGCGCGCAGCTTGGGGGGAAAGAGCGAAGGGGGAGGGAAAACGCAGGAGGCCAGAAAAAGCAAGAGGTCAGGAGCGGTGATGAAGGACAGGGCGGGGCGGGAGTTCGGCAGTGGGGGACGAACGGAGGGAAAGAGACCAATTACTACGGTGGGGGCATTGGATAAGGAAGCATTGTATAAGGAATCCAGAGCCTGGACGCCAGTGGAACTCCGATCGTGGATTGGTCATGGATATCAGCGCCGCCCTCATCAGATAATCGACCATCCAGGGCCTGCAGCCTCGTGGGCACATTCCTCAACGAACGCCCCAACCGTGGCCCTTCCCACCAAGCGCACTGCTCGCGTTTCGCCACCGACAGGCCTTGGCAGGCGGCGCGCCCTGGCTGGCTCTGAGACCCGAGGGACGCGCTGGCGTTGCTGCCGACATCCCATATCGTACGATGATGATCTCAATCGGTTGGCACACAAGACTTCCCTTCGGGGATGGACAGACCTCCCTTTAGTAAAACGTGGTTTAGTGAAAACGACCTGAGGCCCAAACCTGGCGGGCGCAAGCCTGGAAAATAACGGCCGCGGCGCCCTCTCGAGAACCGAAAACGGACAATTCACTAATCGACGTGTCACTGTTGGGGGTTCTGCCCACCCCCGATCCCTCATTGCAAAGGCGCGCTGGCAAAGCCGGAGCGGACGGTCCGGAAGGCCGATGGACATGTCCTTCACTTTCACGAGAGCGTCTTTGGCTCCCATGAACTCCATCACGTCCGGGGTGGACCAGATCTGCGCCGAAAATCATCGATAATGCGAGAGTGGATGGAGGGATGGCGGAGTGGGGAAGGCATGGACGGGCGGCGATGGAGCAAGAACCTGGGAGAGAGGGTGAAGGACCTAAGGAAGGGGAACGAGGACGACAGATGAGAGGAATGAGCATGATGAAGTTGCACGGAATTGGTGTGAGCGGGGCAGGGCAGATGCGATGTCCTTTCACACTGCGGCTGGTCATTGAACATGCCAGGTCTCACACTGTTGTCCATAATGTTGCCGAAGCGAGGTCACACTGCATATGACATGCGCGGATGACTCGCTGGCTCGAAGCGGTTCGCCGCAACCGGTCACTCATCGAGACTGCCGCGGCAAGGTGGCACAAGCCGCCTGTCTGCCTGCCAGCGTGGACCCCAAACAACAAAGTTGCTGCACTGTGGACGTCGGGATTCGGACGCCCAGCGCACTTGGCAGACAGACAGACGCCATGCACAACATAGGTGCGTTGGCAGAAATTGTGAGACATACTAGACAATTGGGTGAAACGGCAAGCGTGCTAAGCATAGGAGGAGGAGGAGGAGGAGGAGGAGGAGGAGGAGGAGGAGGAGGACGCCCAGCGCACTTGGGTGCCCCCAAGAGGGCGGCCGGGCAAAGGGGGGCCGCGCACCGTGGCCCTGCGCAACGAGGAGGAAGCGGGGGCCGCGAGCTGTGGGAGGTGTCATGGCCCTGGCCATGATTGAAGGGGCCCTGGGACACACAAATAGATACACACAAATAAAAAGATCCCCCATATCTTCCTATGTTTTCCGGGGTTTTTGTGTTCCCCCCCACTTCCCATATTTCCAATATTTTCTGGGGGATCGACGATTAATTGTGTCTGTGTGTTTCTTTCCCTCCTGAATGATATCTGCACACCTCTCGTTCTGACCACCTGCCAGACCACCCCAAACCCAGCCCGAAGACCCCAACGTCGGCTTCGAGGGGGGGGGGGTACGGGCTCCCTGTGTGTTTTTTTATTGTCTTTGGAGTCCCGAAACGGTGCGGTGACAGACCGTGCGGTGACCTCGAAATCCCCCAAGACCTCACCGCACGGTCCGTCACCGCACGGTCTTGGGACCCTGGAGGCCCCTGTCGCCCGATACATCCTCGGAGAACGCCCCGAGTCCCCAAACCGTGCGGTGACCCCGAATCTCCACCGACTCACCGCACGGTGTGGTCACCACCACGTTTGGGGGCCCCCGATTGTTCCCCGACCCCCCCGGGAATGGAAGGCAACTCGAGGCCTTCGGGTGGGGTTGGGGTGGTTTGGGGGGCGGTGGTGCTGGCTGGCACGCCCCCGGCGGACGAAAGAGGAAGTCCGCCGACCCTGTCGCCGTGTGGAAGTCACTGTCATCGTCGTCGCCGCCGTCGCCGTCGCCGTCGCCGTCGCTGTCGCCGTCGTCGCCGCCGTCGCCGTCGCCGTCGCCGTCGCCGTCGTCGCCGCCGTCGCCGTCGCCGTCGCCGTCGCCGTCGCCGTCGCCGTCGCCGTCGCTGTCGCCGTTGCCGTCGCCGCTCCCTTCCCTTCCCCCGAGCCCTCCTCCGAGACCGCCAGCCGCAAGGAACTTCAGGAACGTCGTAGCGATGTCCTGGCCATCGCTCGGACGTCCATTCCCTGTGCTTTTCTCGGTTTCGTGCGTGGTTTTTGTCGCCAAGTGATCAAGGGTGCTCCTCGATGGTCCTCGCCGAAGGAGAAGTGCATACGTCCGAGCGGTGCCAAGTGTCGAAGGGGTCGAAGGGAAGCCCGTTCCCATGGATCCCGTCCCCGCCGGGGGGGGGCGGGTCTCGGGGGGGGAGAGAGGTGGGGGGGTCCTGGTGAAGGGGCCCCAGGACACACAAGTAGATACACACAAATAAAAAGATTCCCCATCTTTTCTCATACTGTCTGGGTTTCTGTCTTCCCCCCCACTTCCCATATCTTCCCATATTTTCTGAGGAATCGAGGATTAATTGTGTCTGTGTGTTTTTTCCTCTCCTGACCTGGGTCAATGCCGCCCCCCTGGGGTCCCGGGGGGGGTCCCGGAGAGGGTCGTCAGCGGGGGTCCTGAAGGAGGTCCCGCATGCAGGGTTGGCGGAACCGGCCGCAGGCCCTTCCCAAGTGTCTGTTTCATGCATCGACTTTAGGCTGCCAAGCCAGCCGCGTGGACGTGAGTTGCTGATTCCGAATGGATCGCTCAACCTTGGGCGATCGCGGCTTTGCGATACACCCACGCCCGGCCAGGCCGATCTCGAATTCTGGATTCGCCGACGCCCTCCGAACGACTGCCCTCTGTCAGCCTACGGTGCGCAGCTGGCGACCCGGCGGACCCCAACGCAAGGCCACCCGTGTGCGCCTCTGCTGCGCGGTGGTGACGCCACGGGGGCCGACTGGCCGCTTGGAGCTGGCTCTCTTCTACGGGGCAGGACGCGCCGTCGCCAGGTCGTCGCCGACATGCTCCCAGCACCGCGGGGAGGAGGGGAAGGAGCGCTGAAGGGGCCCTGGGACACACAAATGAATACACACACAGAAAAGGAGTCCCCATGAAAATTTCCCATATCTGCTGGGCTTCTGTCCTCCCCCCCACTTCCCGTATTGTCCCATATTCTCCTGGAAGTCGACGATTAATTATGCCTGTGTGTTTTTTCCCCTCCTCCTCCTCCTCCTCCTCCTCCTCCTCCTCCTCCTCCTCCTCCTCCTCCTCCTCCTCCTCCTCTCCTCCCCCTCCTCCCTCCTCCTCCTCCTCCTCCTCCTCCTCCTCCTCCTCTCCTCCTCCTCTCCTCTCCCTCTCCTCGTTCCTCGTCTCCTACGAAGCACGAGGACTCTGCTCGAGACCAGTCGGCCTACGCCGAGAGAGGCGAGGGGGGAGGGACCGCGCGAAAGAGTGGGATCGAAGACCTCCCCCCGAGGAGCACGGGGCACGCCCTGCGCCCTCCTCCTCCTCCTCCTCCCCCTCTCCTCCTCCTCCTCCTCCTCCTCCTCCTCCTACTCCTCCCCTCCTCCTCCTCCTCCTCCCCCCTCCTCCTCCTCCTCCTCCTCTCCTCCTCCCTCCTCCTCCTCCTCCTCCCCCTCTCCTCCTCCTCTCCCCCTCCTCCCTCCTCCTCCTCTCCTCCTCCTCCTCCTCCTCCTCCTCCTCCTCCTCCTCCTCCAGTCACGAAGTCTCACGCGCACCAAGGGAACGAACACCGAGCCCCGCTCCCTTGGTCCCCCCCCAGGAGAGCACATAACCGAATCGACAAGTCGGGTCGGCGATCGAGATGAATCGGATCGGCCGAAATCGGCAGCCGAGTCGGGAGAGGTCGGATCGGCGGAAATCGGCAGGCCAGTATGCCTCCAGTCAGGAATCGGAGTCCAAATCGGAATCCGAGGTCGAATCGAATCGGAATCGGAAGCCATCGAAATCGAATCGAATCGAATCGGAGGAATCGAAACGAGCCCTGCCCCCCCCTTTCCCCACCGTCCGCCCTGGCACCCGCCGTTCCAGCAGCCCCCGACCCCCCAAACACCACCCCTGCTCCAAAGAGGCTAGGGGGCCTCCGCGGGGCCAAGAGCGAGGCACGCGATCGGATCCTGCCAGTTGTGCCGGGCCAAGGGGCCTGCAAGGGAGAGACACGTGCTCGGACGAACCGACCAAGAACTGCACTGTGAGGTCTCCTCCCGAAGACGCGGAGCGCAAGCACGGGAGGCAGAGAAAGCGCACGTCACATGGGCTCGATGGCTTCAGCTCAACTGGGGTGTGCTGAGCTGGCTTCATCCTAGCCAGGACAAGAAACACTTGGCTTCGCTGACCCATGACAGTCTAAGCTGGGCCTAGCTGCAATGACCGCGGAAACTTGTATATCCAAAAATCGCCCGTGCGTTCTGGCTAAGCTCGACAAGTCTCATACCACTCTCAGCTAGACTGATTTCACCTGGACCAGGCGAATCACAACTTAACACTAAGAACCATGTAGCCAAACATCACCTTAGCTCATATGGGTCGAACTTACCAAGACAATAAACTACTTTCAGCGAAGCCAAGCCAACATAAAGTCATGCTGATACCAATTCGCACTTCGTAGCAACGATCACTGAGAACTGTACAAGAGCGACGTCGGACAAGTCGGGTGGGCGGCAGGGCATGTGTCCTGCTCCTTGGCTTGTGCTCGCCTCTGCATAGTGGTTTCCCATGGTAACATGCTACACGGTGTCCATTCTTGGATCCGCATCGGGGAGCCAGGCAATACAGTACGCATGTGCTCGGGGGATCCACTGGCGCTCTGTCCGTATCTGGTGCGCTCCCGCTTGGGAAGTGCGGTGCGGAGAAGGCCGCTGACGCGGACGTCGCAAACGGCGTCTACGAGTCCAGGGAAGGCGTCGGTGGCGAGCCTGAGTAGCACACTCCTTGCGAAGGGCCCTCATGGCGTCGTCAAACTTCTGCTGGCTGCCGCCTTGAGGGGGGACGCGCTCCAGTTTCAATACCGCCAGGCCAGGCATTGCTCCCTGGAGCAGTCGCGTGGGTGCCCAAAGATCCGAAGATGCAACATATTGCAGCATCGCAGAAAATCACGACCGGAGCCCTGGATAGAATCATACTGCAACATGTTTCGAGCCAGGTTGATCCGTGAAGGTCTAAGGGCCCGAAACAAGGCAAAATCGCCCTTGTGACAATATCGCCACGCCGAGATCTCACTCAGGGTGATGGACTCACACTTCTTTTTCATCGCGTCTAGCTCCCGATCGGTGCATCTCACCACGCCCAGAAACAATGTGTAGAGGATCGCACGCGCGATGATGCGCACCCTTCGGGTCGGGCGAAAGGGGGGGATAGCAAAGGGGGGGGTGAGAATCAGCTCACGTTTTTCCCGGCGCCTCCCGGCGCCGGAGGCGGCTATGTATCGAGGAATGGCCCCCTCGGTGAGGCCGAAACCAGCATGCAGCAAATTTCGTAACCCCCCCTTTCCCAATCCCCCCCTTTCGTCTGGCCCGAACCCTGTCAGCACCTGCAATGCCGATGCCCACCCAACCGGCATGGACCTGAGTGGCTTGCGCTGTCGAGCGCATATCTTGATGGCGCCGAAGGCGGATAAGCGGTGCGGCCCGTAACGGCGTGGTGCCATACGACATCGCTGCTTCAAACGAAGACCTCTCTTTGTGCAGCCGCTGCTCGTATCGGGCTTGGGCTGCCGAAAAAACATGGTCCAGGCCACACCGTGAACCTCCCTAGATGGGACAAGGGTAGATGGGGTCGGAGGATCGCGCCGCATCGCCGATACGTCGGCGATGCATCGGCGTGAAGCAAGTCGGGCTCCGCATCTGGCCGCATCGCGATCCTCCGATCCCATCTGGGATGCCTATAAGGCCTGGAGCCGGACTGCGCGCCTCGCGCCCCGCCGCGCGCGGCGAACGACCCTCTCCGCGCCCCTCGCCGCGTCCCCGCGCCGCCCCTCCCTGGAGAACTGCAGCGCCGCTCTGGCCCCGGCCGCGGCGCGCGAGGCGCGCGGCTGTCTCCGCCCGTCCCGCGGGTGCCCTCGGGCCGGAGGGCTCCAGCGTTTTTTTTGGGGGGGGCGGGGTTTTCCAGGAGGGGCCCCCCAGGGGCTCCACGCCCCCTGCTGCGACGAGGCTCCGAGGCCCCCGCAAGGGGGGCTCTTTGGGAAGCCCCCCCCCCTCCCCCCCAACAGAAACCCATCTGGAGAGACCCCTCCGGTCGGGGAGCCCCTCGGCGACGGCGGAGCTCCAGCAGCGCGCGCGGCGTGCGCGGCCGGGGCGCGCGCGCCACCCTCGGCGGGGGCGGGCCCGGCCCGCCAACTCTCCACATTGAAGGGGCCCTGGGACACGCAAATAACTACACAAAAATAAGAGGGTTCCCCCTATTTCCGCATATTTTCTGGGTTTCCGCTTCCCCCCCTACTTCCCCTATTGTCCCAGATTTTCCGGGGGATCGACGATGACTTGTGTCTGTGTGTTTCTTCCCCTCCTGGTATGCCTCGGCGGGGGAGGGCCCGGCACGCCGGGCGCGCCGTGCGCCCGCGGGCCGGGCGCGGGTGCGCCGGCCGCCCGCGCCCCGCCCGCAGGCGGCGGGCGCCGCTCCCGCAGGCGGGGGGGGGGGCAGCGCGGAGGGCGGGTCGGCCAACTAGCGGGCGGGGAGGGCGGGCGGGGCGGGCGGGGCGGGGGGCGGGCGGGGCAGGGGGCGCGGAGGGCGGGTCGGCCAACTGGCTCCAGGCCGCGCCGGAATTTCTCTAGCTCGTTGCCGAAGAGCTCTACGAAGTCCACCAGCCCTTTGGGCGTGAGTGGTTTAGAGAGCTCTCTCTGTTCTCAACCCCCCTTCTTCCCCTTCGGGGAGGGGTTTACCCCTCCCCCTACCCCCTCCCCTGGGCCTGGAGAGGTCCCTCCGCGGGTCGTCAGGGGAGTCATTTTCGACTCCTGGGAGGGCTAAAAAACGACACCCCTCACGAGGATTCTGGCCCCGACGGGGGGAGGGAGAAAAAACCCTCTCCTCTTCTGTGAAGCCAAAATCATTGATTTTACTACGGTTTTGGCCCCATTTTGGCCTTCTGAGGGGGCAGCGCTCATTAAAGCTCCCCTCTTCCTTCAAGGCAAAATCATTGATTTTACGAAGGTTTTGGGCTCATTTTACCCTTCTGAAGGGGGCAGCGCTCATTGAAACTCCCCTCTTCTTTGATCGATTCCCTCCAAGATGGCCCCAAGAAGCGCCCAGGAGGCACCAAGAGGCCCCAAGATGGCCCCTGGAGGCCCCCTGGAGGCCCCCAAGAGGCCTCCAAGAGGCCCCCAAGATGCCCCCAAGAGGCCCCCAAGGGGCCCCAAGAGGCTCCCCCGAGGCACCCAAGACGCTCCTGGAAGCCCCTGGGGCCGCCAAGAGGCCCCCAAGACGCCCCAAACGGCCTCCAAGAGGCTCCCAAGAGGCTCCGAAGAGGCTCCCCAAAGGCACCCAAGACGCTCCTAGAAGCCCCTGGGGCCGCCAAGCGAGGGACGAGGGGCCCGAACGACTCACACCACGAAGAGCCCGAACGACTCACACCAGAAGGAGGGGCCCCAACGACTCAGACCAGGACGAGGCGCCCGAACGACTCACACCACGAGGAGCCCGAACGACTCACACCACGACGAGGGCCCCGAACGACTCACACCAGGAAGGGGGCCCGAACAACTCACACCACGAGAAGCCCGAACGACTCACACCAGGACGAAGAGCCCGAACGACTCACACCACGAAGAGCCCGAACGACTCACACCAGGAAGAAGGGCCCGAACGACTCACACCAGGACGAGAAACCCCAAACGACTCAAACCACGAGGAGCGATTTCTCTCCCTCCTCCTCCGCCTCGTCCTTCTCCCGCTCCCACCACAAGGAGGATGTACAAGGAGGCGGGAGGAAAGAAGAACAGGGGAGATATGCGGGGGCAGGCGGAAACACGCCTGAAAACACACGACTGTCGGCATGCTTCGTAAGAGTTGCTGTTTTGAGATGGGCTGGTGGGGATACGCGAAGCGTAAAGAATTTCTCTAGCTCGTCGTTGCCGAAGAGCTCTACGAAGTATGAGCTAAAAGAATTCCGGGCAGGGGTGCAGGTAGTACCTTTTAGAGTTTTCCTGCGTCGGCGAGCTAGAGGAATTCCGGCGCGGGGTGGAGCTAGTTGGCCCATCCGGCCCGCCCGGGTCGGGTCGGATGCTCGGGGGGGAACGAACGGGGGGGGGGGACAGGCAAAGGGTAAGGTATAGTTGAGCGGGGGCCGACCGTCCCAGCATTCCTGTAGTCCTCCCACGAAGTGTTCTCAGAACCCAAAACTGTTCTAAGAACATCCCACGAAATAGATGCTCTTAGAACCCAAAGCTTTTCTATAGCAACAAAAAGCAATGTGTTCCTAGGACATAAACCCGATGTGATGAACCAAGACAAGCCTCCGCCAGACATGTTCTAGGAACATCTCGTGGATACCACAACAAGTTCTTAGAACATTGTTTGACAGGGCTATAAGCGAGCCAGGACGCTTCGCCACTGCTTGATGTAGAGAATCAACTCACGCAGCTGGCTTTCCCGGCGCTTCCCGGCGCCGGGAGGCGCCCGCGTGTCTCGAGGAATGGGCCCCGCGGCGGGGCCGAGACCGGCCGCATGCAGCAGATTTCGTGCCCCCCCGCCTCTCCCTATCCCCCCCTGTCGTTCGGTCCGAGACGAGGGGGACGGGGGGCTTTTCGCTGGGGGCCCCAAGACTGTGAGGTGGCAGGCCCTGCGGTGACCCGTCAGTCCCCAGAGACCTCACGGCAAAGTCCGTCGCCGCACGGCGTCGGGACCCAGGGTCCCGACACCGCGCGCGAGTAGTATGAGCGATTGAGTCTGAAAAGACAAGGCGCGGCACGTGCGTCATGAAAACGCGGCGCGCGGCAGAAACAATTATGAGAGGGAAACTCGCGCGCTTCGCGTGCGTCCGTCGACCGAAATTGCTCAATCAGGGCAAGCGCGCGGCGACGACCGCACTTGTCTCCACCGATCAGCAATCCAGAAAAATGCAAAACAAAATTGTCGAGGCCCCGGTTTTTGTTTCCTGGTGGGGAGGGACCCGGAGACCCCTGGGGGGCGCCCCGGTCGTCCGAGACATCCCCGGAGAGCGGCCAGGGTCCCATAACACGAGCGTGCGGCCACCGCCGACCTCCCGCTGACTCACCACGCGGCGCATAGGTCACCGCACTGCTCCGAGGGCCCCGGAGAGAATTTTGGGGGGGATTCCTCCAGATTTCGTAAGAAAGGGAGGGGGGTCTCATTTCGGGGGGGGGGGTCTCTTCCAGGCTATCTGCAGGGGGTCTGGGGACGATGTTTTGGAGGGCTCTCCCACGGGGGAGGTCTGAGATGGCTTGTCTTGGAGGGTCCAGACCCCCTCCCTTTTATTACGAAATCTGGAGTAGCGAATCAGCGAAACGCAGCTGACCTTCCCGGCGCCTCCCGGCGCCGCAGCCGCCCACGTCTCGAGGAGAGCGCCCGGCGGCGAGGCCGAAGCCAGCTGCACGCAGCAGATGTGTCGAGCCCTCCCCCTCTGCCTTCAGGAGCGGCCACGAGGGGGGCGTCCAAGAGGGGGGGGTGCAAATCATGACCGGCGGCACGTGCGCGGCCCAGCGGGGGGGCCAGGGACGTAATGAAACCAGAGGAGGCGCCATAAAATCTGGGGAAATATCATGGGCCCCCCCCATGATGTCCACCCCCCCCTAGTCATCACCCCCCTCTTTTGCGCCCCCCATGCCTGGTATCCCCCTCCCGTCGGATCCGCAGGGCCCAGGGGCCGGGACGCACCCAGGTGCGCCAAAGAGGGGGGCCGCCGAAGAGGGGGGGCAGCGCATCATGGCCAGAGGCACGTGAGCGGACGAAGGGGAGGTGGTGGTGGTGGTGGTCACTGCATAAGGGAAACAGAGTCCCGAGCAGAGCAACACGCACCACGACCAC